TTCACTGTGAAAAAAAATGAGTGTATATTTTCAAACACAGATACTAATTAATTCTAAAATTGCGTTTTGTTTAGAAAAAGAAAGAAAGTGATTTTTGCGTGTACACTTCCCCTTTAAGCGGACGGAACCAGAGGTGGGCATACCTTCAGATGTGGACTTTCATCTTTTATTTCCAGACTCTGTTCCCTAGCCAATCTTGGCTGTGTGGTCGGCATCAGGTGACCACTCCATGTATGGGAACCTCCAATTCCCTCAGCCTGTCCTCGGCTGTGTGGTCGGCTTCGGGTGACCACTCCATGTATGGGAACCTCCAATTCCCTCAGCCCGTGCTCGGCTGTGTGGTCAGCATCAGGTGACCACTCCATGTATGGGAAACTCTGTTTCCCTCAGCCTGTCTTCGGTTGTATGGTCAGCCTGGATGACCATTTACATGGAAGGGAAGAGTCAGGTATGCGTTGTGTCCTGGTACTGCGCAGCCTGACAATAACGCTTGGTTAGGTCGAAACTGGAGTACCGAGCCGTATGCAAATGAGGCATGAACCTTCTATTCAAGGGCTGACGCCAGGGGAGGCATAGTCAATGACATGTAGTAGTGGTGACCTGCTGGGCCACTGCTAACGGACCAAAGCTGTGCGTACCTTGCACATCCTTCAATGCGACGTCTCGCAGGTAGTGACTGGCAAAGACTGTTGGATCGCCAGAAACATCCCTCCAAGATGGCGCGTAGAGAGCAGTTGCTGTGTAGCGCTATGGTGGAGGCGACCGCCCAGGTCTCATGCGGGTTGTTGGAGCTTGGGGTGTCCAATCCCACGGCCTCATAGGCCTGGAAGATGATGGCTCATAGCCAGATGGAGATCGTGTTGCGGCTGACTTCCGCTCACGAGGTCGCAGATACTGGTACGAAGAGGCGTCATCGTTGTCTACGGCGTTCCTTGGATCATCGGATGGAGCAACAAAGCGCTCTAACCGGACATAGACAGAGCTCTAGTTCATCTTCCGCGCCCACAATCGATGAAAAGGGGGGGTTGGGGGGGGATGACGAACGATCTATCGGGGCTGGCCAGGGAGCTGATTCTTTGCAATGAAGTCCCAGCACAGGCCCAGATGCAAGGCTCCATGTGCTCCCTGCTCAAAGAGGACCCGTGTAGCTCACTGACACAGGCTGCTGTGGCGAGTGCCAGTAGGAAGTCTTTTTCGTCAGATTGTAGAATGATGACGTTTCGAGCATCTCGAAAGGCGGGTCTCTCGGCGGGTCCCAAGATGGGGGACGAAACTTCGCCTTTTGGTCTTCCAGTCTGAATGAGCGGAGCAGTTCCGTCATGCGTCAATCTTTTGGAACTGCCAGGACGGAGTTGAGCGCCACAAGGTAGGTCATGATGGCACTGCCCTTGAGCTGACGCTTGTGACGAAGATGGAGCATGAACTCGGCCAGGAATTGAGGCGATGCAGATGTGGGGTCTTGGTGCTCTCGAAAGATCGCCACCCACTTGTCATCATAGGGGCTCTTAGTTCGTGATGGCCCTAGCCGCTCTGGCCGAGTAGCCCTTGGCGTTCAATGCTCTCTGTAAATGGACAAGACGTGAAAACATAACCTGTCTGGTCCTGGGTGTGGCTGTCTGCTGTGAAGGTGGATCAGCAGATATGGCCAATCTGGGAGTGGCAGTGGGTTGACATCAGACAGCTCTCTGAGGTCGACGAACCACCAGGACGCGACCAACGTCAGATCGAGGTTCCGTGTCGATCTGATCTTCTGGACAACTTTGGGAAGGAGTACAGGTGGCAGAAAAGCGTAGCTTTTAGTCCTTCCAAGAGGACACTTAAAGCGTCAACTGCCCAAGCACCGGAGATATGTAGGTCGGGATATGGTAGTTCTGGCTGGTGGCGAATAGGTCTATGTTGGGGAGACCGTGGTCTCGACAAACAAGAGCGAAGGGCGTCTGGGTGAAGTTTCCACTCTGTGGGAGCCACTTTGCCTAGCCGAGATAGGGCATCCGCTAGGATGTTTCGGCAGCCCGGGATGTGGTGGACCTGGAACTGAATCCCCAGATGATCCACCAGGTGAAACAATCGGAACGTCTGTTGAAGGAGCGAAGTCGAATGAGTCGTTCCTTGGTTCCGAAAGCACCATACAACAGTGATGTTGTCCATCGAGAACACGGGGCCAAAGAAATTCCAAATGGGAGGACCACCCATTGATAATTGACTCCCATGAAGATGAAGCAAGGGAATTTCCAGTCGTCGGGATGTATAGGGACATGTAGGTAGGTGTCTACGATATCCAGGCTGATGAGCCCCCGAGTCTGGAGGGTGTTGCATCGTGGCTGGTAGGAACCAGACTGGGACGCCCTAGCAAAGGCTGGCTGTGACACCCTGGCCAGGGCCTTGAGAGCCGTTTCATCACGGGCGAAGGCTGATACTTGGGAGTGTGTCTTGGATATCTGTCCATTAAAAAGGTTAGAGCCAGACCAAGGTTGATGCAAAAGGTCTCTCTTGAACTCTGGGTCCGAATTCGACAAGGCAAGGTACCAAAGGCGTCCAGTGGTAGTGAGTTCGATCAGAGCAGCGCGCATGTGGGAGCGCATCTGTTCCACTTGTCGTTGGAGGTAGGATACAACCCTAAATGTCCTCCAATAAGTCCTGCAGTATAGCCCTGGAGGACGCCGCCATCAGTAAGAGAGGTTTGAGCGTGTGGCAAATCTCAGTTTCCACGTAGGCGAGTTTGCTGTCGGAGGTCTGAGGTGAGCGGTTCGATCCCGTCATGCGGTGCATGTCCTCATCTAAGGAGTGAGCGTGGTCCGCAACTAGAAGAGAGTGGACTGAGAACGTTGGGCCCTAAAGGAAGGAGTCAGTCCTCATCCAGAGCTGAGATCATGTCTCTGATCAGTGGGTCAGGAGGGATCGAGGTGGGGTCCGCAGGGATGGCCGTCTTGCTATCGACCTCTAGGCCAGGCGAGGGAGCGATTGCCTCCAATGTGTCAGCCAGCTAGTCTGCGACTTCAAAACCCAGGTGGGATTCGGCCTCTGAGGATCAATAGCCACTGGAGCGTCTGCAAACCGGGGAGCGTCTGCGAACCGGGGAGCGGCTCCTAGATCTATGACCCTGTCTAGAAGATCTGCCGTCACTCCGCGGACTCACAGTGGAGAGGTAGAAGGCGTCTTTGAGGTCGGTTGACGCGGCGGAGGCAGAGGCACGGGTGTCTGCATGGGTGCTGTGTAGATAGGCGCCAGCTAACTGCTGGCTACGTAAAATATTCAAGACGGCTACTTGGAACAACAAGACACCTGGCGTTATGTTTTCCTTTGAGAAAATGCCAGTAAGTGTCTAATAACTTTATGCACATGTTTATCAAACATAGAATGTACAAAATACAAACCGTAGGCACAACACAAAGACAAAAAAAACTTTAACTCAGATAGCAAACACGTTAGGGTTTGAATCAGTTTATGTTACAACAAAAAACAGGTCTTCTCTCATCAAGTGACAAGAGAAATGTGAGGATCTGTGACGTCACTTCCTTTGGTCACGTGGGAGCTGCATGATTGGCTGGCCTCTCAGCTAGTTGGAGCAACTTCTTCAAGCAAAGACCTTCACACAGCTCTTTTCTCGGTCAAGTACAAGCAGTAATATGCATTAAGGAGTAATGCAGGATAAGTAAACAATCAACATTTCACAACCTGCAGTCCTTGGTGGGAAAACTTAACTTTGTATGTAGAGCAATTCCGATTGGTCGTGCCTTTTTGACACACAGCGAGGAGGGTCAAAACCTCACCACAGAATAAGGATAACACAAGGCATACGCGAGGACCTCAGTTTATGGCAGCAATTTCTTCAAATAACACAATGGCACTTCTGCATTTATAGATTCTGAGTGGATCAACTCATTGGATTCACATTTGTTTACCGACGCATCAGGTAACAATGGTTTCGGAGCCTTTTTCATAGGTAAATGGGCGAATGGCAGATGACCTTACGAGTGGGTGCAGAATGGTTGGACTAAGGACATCACTATGCTGGAGCTTTTTCCAATTTACATCACTATGCTGTCATCATCAATATGCAGACCGTCTAGTTCACCTCGATAGAGGAAGTTTATTTGGGAAACTGCGGGTTATAATGTAGTCAATCGATAGATGGGGGTAAGGCAACATTAAAAAGATAACAGAAGTTACTATCCACGTGTTAATAAATGCTTACTTACAGTGTGTAGACAGAACATTCCGAAGAAATTGAAATTGTTTACGATGCGAGCACTTCCTAGTTACTGATTTGTATAAGTAAACCACTGCTAGCATGCATGTCCCACGTGAACTACCGGAAATCAAAAATCCCGCAATACGATGAATGCTGCAGTACCACACTTCCGAGTAAACCTCAGTATGCATGTGAAGGATTATGACGTCGTCCTTATCATGATGTCAAGCATTTCAGAGTGACATCATGTTGGTCTCATAACTGTGAGATAGGACAAGAAACAAAGAGTGCTGCGGAAAATGACTGTAACTGTAACTTAAAAATTAGGTCCATAGATATTAAACGTTTTAATATTGAGTACTTGATGCCCATAACAAAACTTAACATTTGAGTGAGTGAGTGAGTTGGGTTTAACTTTTAACAGTATTCCAGTTATATCGCGGCGTGTCAGCTTAATGTGGGAGGAACCCACAATCAGGGGTTTCTGGCGTGCCCAAGGGACGCAACTCTGCGCATCGAATCGCGGCGCCTTAGACGACTGGGCCACCCGTGCCCCCACTTAACATTTGAAACCGCCGGATTACTTTGTTGGTTCCAAATGTAATTTACGGGATGAAATACATCATAACCACATACATATGAAAATACATAATGTTCATCTTCAAAATTATCCTGATAAAATTTATAAAAATGCATAAATATTACATATCTCGTCATCACACGTGCGTTGCGAACGAAAACAGGACAACACGTTTCTTAAATGAATATGAAGAAACTGCTTAAGATTATTCAACAGTTAAAATTTTACCTGGATACCCGAAGTACTGAAATATCGACTACTCCTATTCAGTGCAATACTCTTCAATCTACCCATAAGCATTTGAAATCGGCACCAAGTGGGCACAGCACCCATGGCCATATCTGCCCCGGAAGCGGCTACCTGTGTAAAAGTATAACTTAGACGCGGAAAAGCACATTTCGAGGACACACACAAATACGCAAACGGCATACCATAAATAGACTTAGATCAAATTTATAAAAATGCATAAATATAATATTTAATCGGTTTTCATGCCGACTTTTCTCATTTGGTAAAGTTATAAAATGGAAAGGGATAATTATTTATCAATTACGAACGTGACTACAAATAGCAGCCGTTTTCGCCAAATGAGGTGCCGTTTTCGCCCATGAATTCGGTGACGTTTTGCCGAGGTGCCGTTTTAGCCTGCACCCTCTCAGGGTGCCATATAGATTTCGTTTAAATTAATTGGACGTAACAGCCGTAACTCTGGTCATTATTCCGACACATGCACTTATTTGCACGAGTGACATGTATGACATATATGTATGTGCATGACAGATTTCATCTCGCATTTATATAACAAACAAAATGTCAATATATATATACTTCTTAGCGTCATCGCAAATATGCCACATGTCAACCATCTTCGACTGTCCAGTGTATAAAGCATAATAAAGTAGAAAGGTGACGCACTGCATAATTGCGCATGTTTGATTTTTCAGAGACCATATATGGGCTCTGTTATTGTTCAACTGTTGTAACTGGCTGTAATACTCACTTCGCAGACATGAGTTAAATTCTTCAGTCGTGCCAGGATCCCTTGATCCGGTGTGTTCTCACCCAAATGCACGGAAAAGTTTTCTTCAAATCAACAATGCAACTTGTCAATATTCTATAAACGTATTTAAAAGTCTCCAGTTTTATTGAATAATTCAAATAAGAAAGACCTTATGGACATTAGCTCCGAAAGTGGAAATAAATGAGAATACGCTCATTTCAGAGACCAAATATTATTATATGGCCTCTGACTTAAATTATTTCTATAAGTTGTTTTGCCATGCACACCTACATGATAAGAAAGCATATATTTATAGTTGCATGTGTAACCCGCAGGGGATTTCGGGGAGAATAATCTATACAACTCCCAATGCTTGTCGTTTGAGTCGAGTAAAGGGGATTGGGTGGTCTGTTAGTTTGTTGATGGTTGGTTATATCACTGGGTTGTCTGGTCCTGACTCGATTACTTACAGCAGCTGGAATATTGAAAATTTGTTCATCCGTCGTGCATGATCACCATTCGATGCTTGTCGATGTGAAGCAGCAACTTTCTAGGAACACGGGATAGAAAAGAATTTTGGAACGTTTTATTATATCAGATACTTTAATACCGTATTTAGTACACCATCCCCAACTCTATCAGATTCCCTTGTTTTGCGATGTTGTTCAACATTAGAACAAATGACATCGGGCATTATCAAGGAATTAAGGAAAGTCGATCGAATACGAACTCAAATATTTTCGGTGTGACAATTATTGTTTCTGTACGTTTTAATATACGTATCTGGGCAATTTTCCAAATGAAACAGCGTCACAGTCCAATGGAAACAATTATTTTTATTTCTTCTCAATATGTGTTCCATGTTTTGTAGAAACCTCATAATTTACCATAGGAAAAGCGTCTGCTAGGGTTAACGCATCATTTACCGTCCCTACATTTTATGTTATGTGCATGCTGTGGTCCAGACGGACAAGGATAATTGTTGTCTTGTTATTTGTTTCTTATCTATCACATATTATCTTGCAAAATCAGGATACCTATCAATCAAATTATGAAATATTAAATATGTGACAGATTTCAAGGTCAAGGCCATATTTCCCGGAAGTGCATGTGCTCCTACCAAAACAAGACCGCAACAGAAACTAGGTACCATTTGTCACTGCCACGAGCTACAGTGATGATCTAAGCGTCCAAGTTATAATGTTTTTGAAAGATTAGAAGCAATGGCGTCTGGACAATGCTATGGGTGTGGCACAACCTTTGGAATTTTCAGAAAAGAGGTTAGTTTTTAGAATCTGACAGCTGTCTGGAATCTTCCATTCCATTGGCTATTTGGTTTGCTTCTGTGTTAGTGCATGGTGAAGTGGGCTTTTCTGGAATGATAGTTTGAAGTCAGTTCGCAACTGTGACCGTTTAAAAGTATCACATTTTAAGGATAACAATCTAAGTTTATCTACATGTGTGACTTTACTTATAATATTATATCTTTAATCAGGAGAAATATTTTGGATATGAGCGACCAGGGCACATTGGGACCAAAAATGGATTTTCTTTCATATCATCTGTTACATTCGGTATGAAGTCAAGGCAACATTCTATATTATTAAAGCCTTTAATGAGAGACATTTTGTCAAGAGAACTGTGTAAGAAAACACACAACATCCTGAGAAATAATCAATTGAAAAAATCTAGTTGATCAATGAAAGCATTAGCTTAGATGTTTGAATCTGGGACGAGTCCACATTTACTACCCGGGTACCCAACGCCCTACGGTATTACCCAACCCTACCCCAGTACCCGCTGAGGGTCTCAAGAGCTGGGTTCAAAATTTCAGATTGGGCAAAAACTATTTAGATACACATATAAAGAAAAAGAATCTGATCATGCATGTACACTGAAGTTGAATGAAGCTTCATCTTTACTCAAGGTTTTGAAACATATAACACTCAGAAGGAATGAGTGCATAGTCATAAGGAAATGCAAACATTTGCAACATGTAGTGTAACCATGGAGTTTTATTATTATTGTCATTAAACATATGTATCACGTGACTAACCACGGGTCTGGGTAGTCATGTGGGTACTCAGGACCCACTCTCTCAAGGTACCCATCCAAACCCGAGATGCCCTTTATCGATTTCATATTCCATCATATCCCTTTAATTAATACTATTTGTATCTACCTTTTCTTGTCACCCCAATATGGGAGTAATCAGCTGGTCCGTATTATCCCTCTTGCACAATATTGCACATCTTCTTTCAGTTACTTAGAAAAAATAGCTCATCTGATGTCACTATCCATCCATCAGTCCATCCATTTGGTTGTCCATATTGATCGTTTACATTTTCTCTGAAACTTCCCATCTATTTTACCTTTAGAATTTGCTTCAGAATTTTGATGTGATATTAAATATGGCTGCCATTAATTCTTATATATTTTCAGGTGAGCTTCAAAGCCAAGGCTCTATTTTTAATGAGATGTATACAGAATATGCCATCGTGCCTATACAGCTCTTTCATTGTTTGAGAGCGCAGTTGTTTATAAACGGTTGTTTATGATCATTTAAACACTTTAATCTTGAACTCAGGGTGTTAATGGCTCAGTCGTCTAAGGCATCACATTCACTTTGCAGAGTTGCATCCCTTGGGCATACCAGAAACCTGTGTTTGTGGGTTCGAATCCTGGTTTGCCAATTATGTTTCTAGGTTTGTCAGCACCATACCCATGCTCATAGGTTTCATCAAAGTAGTAAAAGTCTAAAACCTACATTAATTCAGGCTTTCCCCCCACATTAGACCTCCAAGCTTAATGTGGCCTTCCAGCTAAATGTTGGATGAAAGTCTGAAGTGATGTTTTGATGTGCTGACAAACCTAAAAAGATAATAGGGGCAAACCAGTATTGGAACCCACAATCATAAGTTTCTGGTGTGCCCAAGGGATGCAAACCTCTGCACAGTGAGTTGCTGCTCCTGAACTCCGAGCCATCTATTCCCCCATCAACCTATGAAGTTACTTCAGCATCTATCTTGCCTATTCGACACATTGTTATGACTTTCGGTATTGTTCAGGATGAAGTTTATGTATCAAATAACTATTTCATGTCACATTTTGATGTAGATAATATCTGCAGCAGTTTTGTTGTTATTGATTGTACATACCGGTAAGTCACATTTATGTTCATTATGTTATCAACATCATCTTAATCTTCATGTTTTTATTGCAGCATGGCTGTAAAAACTGTGGATTTGCCTTCTGTAGCAGATGTTTACCGAAATCGATCGAGGTACCAAAGCTGAACAATGTCAAGCATCATGTCTGTAACAGATGTCATGAAATTCTCACAGGGTAAGCAAAACAATTCTTTTAAAAAAATATGAAAACTAGGCTGGATTTCCATAGCTCAATTGTAGGCCACCAGGGGCAATTATGAGTTACATCCTTTCTTTGTCCCTCTTATTGACCAGTCAGATTCCACTTATCATATAATTTATGTTTTAGTCTGTTTTCAGTCGTACAAATGGGTATCTCTCATACCCTCACGTCTAGTCGAACGTTTAAAAGGAAGCCAGAAGCTGGAATGTAAACATTAAACTTGTTTCCGTCCGGTTGCGCACGCACCTCCCTATGACATGTCAGTAGTATAGGTAATGATGGTTCTGGACCACTTCCACTGGAGCCGGATTTATATACCTATACCACCACTACAGAGGGAATTTTTTATGCAAAAATGACTATGCGATTCGACGATAGTCATGAGATTAAGTTAAATTGACTCCAGCTCACCAATACCTGGGGCCAATCATTAGTTCAGATGAGCCTAAATGGTAATGAAAATATTCTTTATTATTTTTATCAATAAAGCGATATTCAACATTTTTATTAAGTTCTTCGTTCATTTTACTAGGAGACCAGACTATATAACTACACTCTCCTTGTAAATTGATAAGAAACAATTGATAACCGTATTTGGTTGGTTTGACATCACTGATATAATAAAAACCTTGTGGTAATTCTCTCCATTTAATAGCTTTTTCGATTGTTGTGTTGTAATTCTCCATTATTATATATATTTATGTAAGCATTTGTCTAAATGTGATCTAACGATAGTAAGCAATCTATTTTTAATCTCCAACCAGTTCTTTGGTTTTGGCACGGAATAATTGACGCGCTTGTTGCCTCCCCTGTTCTATGAACTTTTTTTTCTCGTCTTCGCTAATACCACTGGTCTTACGAGATTTTGATCGAATTTCATGCTTCATTACGTTGTATTTGGTGAGTTCCGACAGCACTAAACGAAACTCATCCTCGGATATCTTACAATCGGCCATTGCTGTCGAAATATGATCCTCAATGCTGTTCAACTTTGCTTCGGCGAGTATCCGAATCTTATTGTGTTTTAATGCTTTCTTTTGCAACCTACGAGAAATGAATTTTATCGCTATTCCTGCCAGTCCCGAGACTCAAGCGGCTATTTCCATGCCGAGCACGATAGGCGCGGCGATTATAGTTGATAATAAACTAACACCTGCTACACCGAGTCCCATGCCAGCTGCTACAAGCGCAGTGTCAACTCCGTCCAGAGCATTCACGGCTCTTCGATACTTTTTATACAATCCAAGTCTCAACTCCCTATCCTTCTCTATTCAATGTTTTATGTCGCTTATTTGATGTAATCGAAATCCATCAACAGTATCCTTCTTTTCAAATGCTTCATCGAGCGCTGGATATAAACCCATAGTGTATGTTACGGTCATATAATAGTCTTTAATTGGTCTTGCTTAAATGTTTTGAGAGTATACATTAACCTCATCAAATGTATATTATACGGCAAGAATATCTTAGTAAGAGAAATGCTGTCACTTTTAATAATTTGCACCCCCTCGAGGGTTGCAACGGGTGATGCTCCGATATGAATAATACTGCAACGTCTACGCTCGTGTTTCTTGAGCCATTTAATCGATAGACCTGATATTATATTTCGAAGGCATCTACCGGTACATCTCCGAACAAGACTTCAATAATAAGCGTAGAAAGATTAGGTATTGCACTCAAGTTAACTTTAATTTCATTGAATTCAGTAACCAAATTTAAACTAACGTTTTGGATTGCCGGACGACTATATAACATATGACCTGGGTTTTCTGGCAGGGGAGAGACTAACACACTTTTTCGTTTTGATGGGATGTAAGCCGCGAGTACGATGCCACTATTTATTATCTTAGTTAAATTATGTGCCTTACCCATTATCACATACGGTTGGGTAATGACAATATTCAATAGACACTCGATGTTTGCTTCGACCATAATCCATTTATTATCATCGTTGTGAGTAAGATTGTACGAAGTGTTTTTTTTAAGGAGTCTACTAACAATGTCGACATCGCTTAAATCTTCTAGATTACCCATGAATGTAACTTCTTTCCGCTTGTATACATTATCTTGTAAGCGTATAACTTACCATAGGTACCGGGTTTATGGAATCCTTCTGTGTCTCCGAGATCAGAAAGCGCAATTGTATTACATTGTCTGAGCGTTCCAGGGCCTGATGCATCAACCATTATTTATAATATGGAGTGTTACACATAAGTATCCTATATGTACAGGTTGGTTGTTTTACATCTAATACAGAAATTTTGAGGTCTGAAATAATAACCCGCTTTAATTTTTTATATTGTAATGATGAGAAAGATTCCGTTCTACCGCTATTATATTTTTCATCTTTCACTGGAACAGATCTGAGCAGAGTTGAAGGACTTTCTATATGAATATTATCCATCGTGCTTATTTGATCAAGATGGATGCACAACTCTTTATAGGGAACTAAATCGGGCGGAACTAAATCGGGCACTGTAACTACATTCGCTGTTTTGTTGGGTTGTAATGCTCCTGACCGTGCAAATCCAAGTGTAATTGCTAAGTTCTCGTCAAGAGCTACACCTTTTTCTCCAGCGGTTAAATTCACTGTCCCATTCGACTCATTTTGTGTGAGACTAATTCCATTAGGCTTAAAAATTTCATCATTGAGTGAGCATACGCTGTAATACCCATCAGGTATAATAATGGACCCGCCAACAATTAATATAGACATCTCATTATTCCCTCTCGCAGCACTTATATTGGTCCACCTCGGGTAATACGTTACGTCACAGATAGCGACTTCGAGTTGTCCATCCGAGTTATCGATAGTATGAAGCAGTTCAATAGACTGACCATTTGTTATTCCCGGGAGTGTAACATACATATTAAATATACAATGATACTATATCATAACTTAAATATGAAATCAAGATACATTACTAATCAGTCGATTATAGTAACTGCCTCTGGTGCTGAATTTATCGTTAAATTCCCAGATATCTTTGAAAAGTACAGAGTCACGGCAACTAGCGATAAAATGGTGCACAATTGGTTTCACAATCCGATGCAATTTTGGCAGAACCAGTTAAACTTTGCCATATGGTGTGCCACAACGGGATGTGGCGTATCTCTTTATTCCCCAGGATTTGAACTATATAAGTCTGTTTTATCATTTCACGTGTATTATCAGATTAGACTTAAAGAAATTAATGCTCCATTACAGCAGGATGGAGCGTGGAATTCCACAAATAATCCGTACAATAGGTGGGCATTCAAGCGTATTTGTCAGGAATTTAATATTTCTACGAGTATACCAGCAAACTTTACATAAGAATGTATGATTATTTTCTAAAAACCCATCATTGGTATTAAGACTGGGAACTTTCGAGTAACGATTGGAGAGGGGATATTATGAGTTTTAAGATTGGTTTAATTTATATTGTTACAAAATTTATACTGAACGATACCGCAAACGCTTGGAATGAATTTCTTAATGATAAAACAGAAAATAATTTTACTAACCCAGGATTTGTAAGAGTTAATGAATCGATAAGAACTTATGTATGGGCAATTCTCGGTGCACAATCGCAAACACGAACGTCCATTATTGGTTCTGGGACGGCTCTCGATGCGCAAAAACAGTTTGTCGCAAACGTGGAGGACGCCATTAATTCACCAGTTGACATACCATCGTCTATAAAGCTTTATCAAGATGTATTACAGTACACTCAATCCAAAGTGGACTACGTTTATGCGCCTGGACTATACATGTCTCCGAGTAATATGGAACTTAAGATCGGCCAAGTGATAGGTTATAATAATAAAATTGTTATCGCTACCGATCAACAAAAACCAGGCATTAATTCAGATATTAACGTTGAATTAATAACGCAAACAATCACAGGCGAAACGGGAATAGTCAAGCCACAGTTATCTACTATCGCTAAAACATCTACTGACACACAACCACAAGTGTCACCGCATATTGCGGCTCAAAATCAATAACATATCGATGAAAAAAACAGCGCTTGTAGTGGGTGGAGTCGCGGCTGGTTTAATCATGATTTAGTTAAATAGTCTTTAGCAGATACGTACAACAGCCCTGCAATTGCTACGATCAGTGCCCACAAGTTTTGACTAAGCCAAGTGGTGGTCTTAGCTAATAAATTCAAGAGCCAGGACCAACACTCCCTATTATACCGAGAAGTGCGGCCGCAGCTTTCTCAGCGAGCTTTCCCAGTGCTGAACCTAATGCTTTTAAATGCTTTTTTATCCACTCTTTTATACCATCCGACCTAGGCGGTGATCCGCCACCACCTGTACCACCTGTACCACCTGTTCCACCGGTTAATGCAAGAGTCAAAGTCAATATAATAAATCCCAACGCGGTTAAAATACTGGCAATTGTTATTCCCTGTTCTCTGAACAATGTTTTAATTTTATCGGCCAGTGTAGTGTCATCGTTGAGGACTTGATCGATAGTTTCTCGAATTCGACTGATTTGCGAACGAAGTGCCTTTCTATTAGTGGAAGCTGCTTCGAGGCGGGCCGATCTTTCGTCTTCTAAGTTACGCAATCTTTCAGCTACGCGGCGTCTGCTGAACTCATCTTCCGCCTGTTCAAGTTTTGTTTTCTCATAAGCTATATTCTTGTCGATTTTGGATAGCTTGGCTATATTGATGAGTTCTCCCCGCATTGTTTGTAATACCTTGTCAAGAGCTCGTAATTCCCTATCACTGAACTCCAAGGATGGTGGTACACTGACCGTGGAATTATCGTAGTAGGTACCCAAGAGTTCTTCGAGTCCGTCCGAGGCCACCCTCGAGGAAGCTTCAAAATTATCTATGTTACTGAGTTTATCACGTGCAGTCCGAAGAGCCTTAGTAGTCTTCGCGGGAAGTTTTGCTCGTCGTGAGTAGTCCACAAAACCTAAATAATCACGAACAATGCCGATGCCGTGTTTTTGGCTATCGTAGACAAGGCTAGGG